TTTTTTTTTTGAGACAGAGTCTCACTTTGTTGCCCAGGCTAGAGTGAGTGCCGTGGCGTCAGCTTGGCTCACAGCAACCTCAATCTCCGGGGCTCAGCGATCCTACTGCCTCAGCCTCCCGAGTAGTTGGGACTACAGGCATGCACCACCATGCCCGGCTAATTTTTTGTATATATATTTTTAGTTGGTCAATTAATTTATTTCTATTTTTGGTAGAGACGGGGTCTCGCTCAGGCTGGTTTTGAACTCCTGACCTTGAGCAATCCGCCCGCCTCGGCCTCCCAAAGTGCTAGGATTACAGGCGTGAGCCACCACGCCCGGCCTAGGATATTATTTTTTGTCAAGACTAATTATCTAATTTTTTCCCTTTTAAATAGACTTTATTTATTAAGGCAGTTTTAGGTTTACATTAAAATTGAGGGGAAGGTACAGAGTCAGAGACTCCCTGTTCCCACATGCACAATGTCCTCCCACTGTTAACATCTTGTACCAGAGTGGTACATTTGTTAGAACTAATGAACCTACAATGACATATCATTATCACTGAAGTCCACAGTTTACATCAGGGTTTGCTTTGGGTATTATACATTCAATGGGTTTTGACAAATGTATGGTATGTCTCCCATTATAGTATCACACAGGATCTAATTCTAAATTTTTGTAGTTTAAATGTGAAGTATCTTTAGTTATTATATAACTAAACGAAGTCAAAACTTTCAGTCACTGGGTAACTTCAAGCATAGAGGTTATCTTAATTTTTGTTAACAAACAGTTGAGAATATGCCTATACTGTTAACATAAATAGTACATTTTATGTAATTTATGTAAAAATATGTATATTAAATTTTAATGTAATTTTTTCTATATTAAAAAATTCCCCACCAGGAAAATATATACATTAAAGAAGAAATTACTAGTCAGTAACAGAACATGAAACTCTGATACCTAAGCAGTATTCTATAAGAAACATTTTATCAAAGTGAAACTTTAAAAAATAGATGCAAAACATTCATATCATTTCTCAAAACTATTTTTAAAAAACAATTCCATGGATGATCAAGTTTTAAAGACATAAGGAACTACTTGTAAGCATGTGTATGCAAGTTTCACATTTTACCTTTCTGTAGGAATCTTCTATCGTTGGGTCATATTTTTCAACAAAAATTCCCTGAACAAACTGAACTGTCTGGAGTGAGGAAAAAAAAAAAAACAAGAGAAAAGATAAGAACTTAAAAGAAAAATCAAACTTCCATGAAAGTTATTTAACCTTACAAAGTTACAAAGAGTAAATAAAATTATGTGAAAATTCTGGGCAAACACACAAATGTAAAGTATCATTATTATTTTTCAAATATAAGTATAAATCCATAACTAAAAGTACACTTATTATGAAAGGATGTGGGCACGTTAAAAATTGTCATCAATATTGCTGCTAACAGCCAGACTCGGCAGTGTATGCCTACAGTCCCAGTTACCAGGAGGCTAAAGTAGGAGGATCACTTGAGCCCAGGAGTTTGAGGCTATAGTGAGCTATGATCTTGTCATTGCACTCCAGCCTGGGCAACAGAACCAAAAAAGTACTGCTGGTACTATACTGTTAAACAGTTACTTTATTATGTTTTAAAATACAGGGGCGAGGCTAGGCATGGTGCCTTACACCTGTAATCCCAGCACTTTGGGAGACCAAGGTCGGAGGATCATTTGAGGCCAAGAGTTCAAGACCAGATTGGGCAACATAGTGGGACTTAGTCTCTACAAAAAATTTAAAAAACAGCCAGGTGTGATGATATATTCTTATAGCTGTACATTTTAAAAAAGTCTTTCTAACTGTGAGGTAAAAGAGAAGAAGGAATTTAAATTTATCGAATGCCTATTATGTCCTACACATTGAACTAGTCACTTTTAATTTATAATCACATTCACATTTCACATTCATCCCAGAAATAGCTATTTTTCCCATCTGCCACCTGAGATTCAGACACACATCTTCCTTATTCTAAAGCCTTACTCTTTCCATTGGAAAACATTGCCTACTCATCTTTTTCAGATATTCTACTTTTATTTCTAGGATATCTATCAGTACATACTAGAAACTACATATTTGTCATTCAGAAAAATGAAAAGAAGTACAGAGATAATTGTAAGATATTTCTTAGACAGCTTTAGAACAGGGTCTGTTCTAATGTTCTATTGCCTAAAACCAAGAATAAGAATGTGGACTGAGGTCATTTACACTTAAATTGCTCAGAGGAATACTTTATACACTATTTTAGCTTAAGCTAAACAGATTAACTTGAATATAGTAAACTTAAAATTTCTTTCTCCTACTAAGCTCCTATTATTTGAAGGAGGTTCAGGCTTTAATCATGCCAAAATTTTTAATCATCACTTTTATAAGGATTCAATTACCCCATTGTCTAAGAATGACACATAATTTCAATATAAAAAGCAGTCTAATATGGCTTCCTAATATGCTTTAGACTAGAGCAGAGGTTCTCAAAATGAAGTCCGGGGCAGAGGCTCCCTGAGGTCAAACTATTAATAACACTAAAATGTACCCTCCTTCTCTCATAAGTTTACAGTGGAGTTTTCCAAAGGGTATATATATTTTTTTAATAAAATTTTTTTATTATACTTATTTTAATATATATTTTTTTACACTTAGATTTGCACTCACCAAAAGGTATAGAACATGTACTATTGCAAGACATTGGATGCAAAAGCAGGCATGCTTCTATAAACCAGACATTAGTAAGACTTGCGAAAATGCAAAACAATCACATGATTCTCACTTTTCATACAAAAAGTAATCTTTCAATCCTCCTCTGAATCCTAAACTAACTCTCAATTCTCAGGGACATCTCCTTCACTCATATAGATTATAATTTTATTCCTTTGGTTTCTATACTGGATCCCCTCCTCTCTTCCTCTCCTTTATCATTATTTTCCTCTCCACTGGATTACTGCCTCCAGCATACAAACATGCTCTACTATCTCCAATCCTAAAACAAAACCCCAAACCCCCGTAACTCCATGATCCCTTCAGCTTCTGCACCCTCTTTTCTGTTCCCTCCCATAATCAGTCTTCCTAAACTGTCTATATTTCATTTCCTCAGCAATTATTTACTCTTCACTCTCTTCTCCCTGATATGGTTATTGCACCATTACCTGACTGAAGCTGCTTCTTTAATCACTTCCAACTACCTCCATGTTCCCAAATCATCTCTTTCCTTTTTGTTACTTGACTTCTGAGCAGTCAAGTAAGGATACATTATTTTATGCTAGACCCTCCAATCCTACCTACTCTCTAGGTAGGTACTCAGGTTGAGAGGTACTCAGAGCTTAGTTCTGGGCTCTGCTCTTCACTTCTCTCTCTAGTCTCTCCCTAGACAACTTCATTCAGCCCTATGGATTTTTTAGAAAAAATTATCCTGCTTATTTTTGAAAAGGTAACTCATGGACATAGGACCAAATTCAAAAGGCACAAAAGGCTATGCAGAGGTAACTAAGCTTACCTACCAACCTTGTTCCTATCTACCCAATCCTACTCCCAAGGAAGCAAATGATGTTATTCATATCTTATTTAATCTGGCAGAGGTAGTCTTTGTATTTTATAGGCATTTCCCCTTGAACACACACCTTTTTTAAAAAAATAAAACACAAATGATAGTCTATGTTGTTTAGTACTTTTTTTCTCTCTAAAGAATACATTTTCCTGAATCTAGCACTCTGGAGACGAGAGGCAGATCATGCTTGAGGTCAGGAGTTCAAACCAGCCTGAGCAAGAGTCGAGCCCGTCTCTATTATAAATAGAAAGAATTAATTGGCCAACTAATATATATAGAAAAAATTAGCCTGGGCATGGTGGCACAGGCCTGTAGTCCCAGCTACTCGGGAGGCTGAGCAGGAGGTCGCTTGAGCCCAGAGTTTGAGGCTGCTGTGAGCTAGGCTGATGCCATGGCTCACTCAAGCCTGGGCAATAAATGGAGACTCTGTTTCAAAAAATAAATAATAAATAAAATAATAATAAAATAAAATTTTCATAATCGTTTTACAATTAACAGGATATTTTTTTGTCAAGATATTATATATTTTTTCCTTTTAAAAATTATTTATAGGCAGTTTAGGTTTAACATAAAATGAGGGGAAGGTACAGAGTCAGAGACTCCCTGTTCCCACATGCACAATGTCCTCCCATTTAATCATCTTGTTACCAGAGTGGTTACATTTGGAACTAATGAACTACAATGACAATTCATTATCATCGATAGTCCATAGTTTACATCAGGGTTGTTTTGGTATTATACATTCAATGGGTTTTGACAATGTATGGATGTCTCCCATTATGTATCACACAGGATCTATTCTAAATTTTTGTAGTTTAAATGTGAAGTATCTTTAGTTATTATATAACTAAACGAAGTCAAAACTTTCAGTCACTGGGTAACTTCAAGCATAGAATTATCTTATTTTGTAACAAACAGTTGAGAATATGCCTATACTGTTAACATAAATAGTACATTTTTGTATTTATGTATTAAATATGTATATTAAATTTTAATGTAATTTTTCTATATAAAAAATTCCCACCAGGAAAATATACATTAAAGAAAATTACTAGTCAATAACAGAACATGAACTCTGATACCTAAGCAGTATTCTATAAGAAAACATTTTATCAAATGAACTTTAAAAAATAGATGCAAAACATTAATCATTCTCAAAATATTTTTAAAAAACAATTCCGATGGATGTCAGTTTTAAAGACATAAGGAACTACTTGTAAGCATGTGTATACAAGTTTCACATTTTACCTTTCTGTAGGAATCTTACTATCGTTGGGTCATATTTTCAACAAAATTCCCTGAACAAACTGAACTGCTGGAGTGAGGAAAAAAACAAGGAGAAGTAACTAAGAAAAGCATTCTAGGCACAGATCTATGCAGTTAAAGGTTTAACTAGCAACTTATTTTTGGGAAATTTCAATAAAGCAATATTGTCTTCTAAAAATAAATGTGTTGATCTAAGGACTATTTTAAACTCTGCTTCTGCGTCAGATCAGAGATTGAGGAGCATCACTAGTGTTGCTATAAACTCATCACCCCATCACTATGGGACAAGTGTGGTAACCTGCAAAATCTGTAATGGTGTGTTCAATGAATATGAATTACATCTATACTTTCTCCGTGTCTCTTGAGCACAGTATTGTGTCCAATTTGAAGACAGTGAAATTGCTTTGCCAGTACTGCTTGATAAACTAAATTAATTCAACTAAAGTTAAAACACTTAAAGATAAATTCTAAAAAACATCTAAAAAAGCAATTTGTTCCTATTAAAGGCAGGTTTAATTTTTATTATTATTATTTTTTTGGCATGTCATTGGCTACTAGTCTTTTATAGCACTGTGTTTTTCCTCCTAATATACTAGAAAATAAAATCATAAAAATTTTCCACAGGCCAGGCGCAGTGGCTCATGCCTGTAATCCTAGCCGGATTGCTCAAGGTCAGGAGTTCAAAACCAGCCTGAGCAAGCGAGACCCCGTCTCTACTATAAATAGAAAGAAATTAATTGGCCAACTGATATATATATAAAAATTACCGGCATGGTGGCGCATGCCTGTAGTCTCAGCTACTCGGAGGCTGAGCAGAAGGATCGCTCGAACCCAGGAGTTGAGGTTGCTGTGAGCTAGCCTGACGCCACGGCACTCACTCTAGCCTGGACAAAAAACCGAGACTCTGTCTCAGAAAAAAAAAAAAAAAAAAGAATGCAACAGCTATACATAAACTGTTATGTAATGATATTCAAATGTATTCTTAAGAGAGAAAAAAAGTACTAAACAACATAGACTATCATTTGTGTTTTATTTTTTAAAAAAGGTGTGTGTTCAAGGGGAAATGCCTATAAAATACAAAGACTACCTCTGCCAGATTAAATAAGATATGAATAACATCATTTGCTTCCTTGGGAGTAGATTGGGTAGATGGAAACAAGGTTGGTAGGTAAGCTTAGTTACCTCTGCATAGCCTTTTGTGCCTTTTGAATTTGGTCCTATGTCCATCTTTTCAAAAATAAGCAGGATAATTTTTCTAAAATCCATAGGGCTGAATGAAGTTGTCTAGGGAGAGACTAAGAGAGAAGAAGTGAAGAGCAGAGCCCAGAACTAAGCTCTGAGTACCTCTCAACCT